GGTTGTTCTGAGGGTTTTTCTGAGGGTTTGGGGGTTCTGGGAGTGAGTAAGGAGAGGTTTTCCTGTGTTTTTCCAAGAGCTGGTGGTTGGGTCCATCTGAATTTGGGAATGAACAGGGAAAGGTTTTTGCGGGTTTTTCTGAGGGTTTGGGGACTTGAGATTTTGAAAGATTCCTGATGGATTTGGGGATATTCTCAATGGATTTGGGGATATTCCCTATAAATTTCAGGATATTTCTTTAAATTTTGGGATATTCCAAATGGATTTTGAGATATTGGATTTTGGGATATTCCCAATAGATTTTGAGAGATTCCCAATGGATTTTGGGAGATTGGATCTGAGGATATTCCCAATGGATTTGGGGATACTGCCTTTTGGGATATTCTCTTGGGGATATTCCCAATGGATTTGAGGTTATTCCGAACGGATTTGGAGATATCCCCAGTGGGTTTTGTGATATTGGATTTTCGGCTGTTTCCAATGGATTTGGGGTTATTCCCAATGGATTTTGGGGATATTGGATTTGGGGACATTCCCAACAGATCCCATGCCACCCCACACATCGAAACCCTCTCTGTTCCCTTGCAGACGCCTGCGGGCTGTCGGACCCGGCGCACGTGGAGACGCTGCAGGAGAAGGCGCAGGTGGCGCTGACCGAGTACGAGCGCTCGCAGTTCCCGTCACAGCCGCAGCGCTTCGGGCGGCTCCTGCTGCGGCTGCCCGCGCTGCGCGCCGTGCCCGCCGCCCTCATCTCACAGCTCTTCTTCATGCGCCTGGTGGGCAAGACGCCCATCGAGACCCTGATCCGCGACATGCTGCTGTCCGGCAGCACCTTCAACTGGCCCTACGGCACCGGGCAGTAGGGACGGATGGACGCACGGACGGACGGCAGGATGGATGGATGGACGCACGGACAGATGGGCAGTGGGACAGATGGATGGACAGCGGGACGGATGGACAGCGGGACAAGCCAGATAGCGGGACAGATGGATACTGGGATTGGCCGGACAATGGGATGGGCCTGAAAATGGGATGGGCCAGATAATGGGACAGGGAGGACAGTGGGACAGGCTGGAAAATGGGATGGGCCACACAATGGGACAGGCCAGACAGCAGGATGGACGGACAGCAGGACGGGCCAGAGAGCAGAACACATGGACAGGGGGATGGGCCAGAGAACGGGACAGGTCGGACAATGGGATGGGCCAGACAATGGGACGGGATGGACAGACAACAGGACAGGCTGGATAATGGGACAGACTGAACAACGGGATGGGCTGGAAAATGGGATGGGCCAGACAACAGGACAGGCCGGACAACAGGATGGGCCAGATAGTAGGGACAGGCTGGACAGTGGGATGGACAGACAGCAGGATGGGCCAGACAGCGGAATGGGCCAGAGAACAGGACGGACACTCCCCAGGAAGGGGAATGGAATTCTCCACAATGCCAGTAGCTCCTGGCCCTGCCGTAACGGGGGTGCACCCTTGAGGGTTGTGCCTGCAGAGTTGTGGGGTTGGCACCAAAGGTTTTGGGGTCGTGGCATTGTCACAGGAATTTTTGGGGTTCCACTATTGTCCCAAAAAGTTTTGGGGTATTGAGGTTGTCCCCAGAAGAGATCCCAGTGTTGTCCCAAAAAGTTTTGGGGTCCTGGCATTCTCACCAAAAGTTTTGGGGTCGTGGAGTTTTCACCAAAGGTTTTGGGGTCCTGGTGTTGTCCAAAAAATTTTGAGGTCCTGGCATTGTCCCCAAAAGTTTTGGGGTCCTGATGTCACCAAAGGTTTTGGGGACCTGAGGTTGTCCCCATAAGTTTTGGGGTCCCGGTGTTGTCTCCAAAAGAGCTCCCAGTGTTGTCCCAAATAGCTCTTGGGCCCTGCCCTTGTCCCCAGGCTGTCCCCAAAGATGGAGGGGACACACAAGGGACACAGACCCCCCCACCCCCCGGGACTGTCCTCCCCGGCTGGCACCAGGATGAGCCAGGATTCAGGATTTGGGATTTTGGGATTCTGGGACCATACCCGGCCGATGGAATCCTTGCTCCGCCATATAAACTCATTAATTAATGCCAATTAAAGATGTTTCCTACAACTCCGGTGGTCTGGAATGAGCCAAGATTTGGGATTTTGGGATTTGGGATTTCAGGATTTCGGGATTTCAGGATTTTGTGATTCCAGGACCATTCACTGATTGGAATCCTCACTCCGCCATATCAACCCATTAACAAACGCCAATTAAAGACATTTCCTACAATCCCAGGGCCTGGATTTGGGATCCAGCAGAAAAATTGGAACTGAGGAGATCAAACCCACCCCAAAAATAGGGAACATTCCATAAAAATCCTGAAATTGGGATTTTTTTTTTTTTTTTTTTTTTTGGGTTGGGTGGAATTGGGGATTTCAGGGGTTCTTCTTCAGTTTGGGGTTTTTTGTGGGGAGGGGGGAATTTGGTATTTGGGTGATTTGGGTTTCTCAAGATCTGGGATTTTTCTTCCTAAACAGAGATATTTGGGATTTCCTTCCCAAAGTGGAGGGATTTGGGATTTCCCCTCCAAAACTGGGAGGGGTTTTGGGGTCCCCTCCCAAATTTAGGGGAATTTCAACCTTTTCATTTCACCCCGACCCTAAATGAAAATCAACAATTACACTTAATTTATTACAAAACAATTAAAATATTACACGATTCCCACAGATCCCACCAATTCCCTACAAAATATTTTGGGATTTGGGTCATCCTTCCCCCCAGAAAAAACCCCAAAAAAGTTTTTTTTGTCCCCCAAACACCAATTTGGCACCCCCAAAACCCCTTTAAGGCAGCTAGGGGAGTGCAAACCCCATAAAAACCCTATTTACAACCAGGGGAAGGCACTGGGGGAGATCCTGAAGGGTGTGGGGGACATCTGGGGACATCTTGGGGTGGAGACGGGGTCACACCAACAGCTGCCATCATCCCCCCCCACCCTTGGCACTGGGGAGGGCCCAAAACGAGAAATTTTGGAATTTTTTAAGACAAAAAAAGGCACAAAAGTCTTTGGAGGGGGTTGGAGGGTGGGGTTTTGGGGTGTCCCCCCCTACAAATGTCCCTTTTTTTTGGGGGATGGTGCCTTTGGGGTCAGCCCCGGAGCTTGTCGTAGTCGCTAACCATCCTTTTGATGTGGAAGAGTTTGTTCCGGAGGGTTTTGGATTCCCGCTTCTTGTCCTGGTACTCCGGGCTCTGGGAAGGCATTTAGGGACTTTAGGAGATGTCTGGGGACATTCTGGGGACATTTTGGGGATATGGGGGATGTCACCAAAGAGGCAGGTGACCCTAAAAGTCACCCCCAAGAACTCACCCTCTTCACGTCCTTGAGGTGGTTGTACTCCTCAGCCAGCGCCTGTGGGGACAGCAGGGTCAGGGACAGAGGGGACAGGAGACAGCAGGGACAGCAGGGTCAGGGAGAGGGGACACGGGGGGACAGTGGGGAGAGGGATAGGGGAGATGGGGGGGACAGGGACAGAGGGACAGGGGATAAGGGATGGGGGGACAAAGGGAGCAGAGGTAACAGGGAGGGGACAGAAGGACAGTGGGATCAGGGACACGGGACACAAGAACAGAGGAGACAGAGGGACAGAGGGACAGGAAGGGACAGAGGAACAGGAGGAGACAGGGACATGGAAGGGACAGAGGGGACAGAGAGGGGACAATAGGGGGTGAATGGGATAAGAAATAAGGGGGGAGTGGAGGTGAAAAAGGGGTCAAAAAGAAGGAAAAAGGGGCAAAAAGGGGTGAAAAGGGGCACCAAGGGCAGTCTGGGGGGCAGCAGGGGCACACCTGGTACTGGGCGCTGTCCTCGGGCACCTGGTCCAGCTGTGCTGCCAGCTGTGCCAGGCGGTCATTGAGCCCGTCCATGTGGGCACAGAGCTCCTTGTAGCGCCGCAGCTCCTGCCCGAAATCCGCCTTGTAGCGCTGCCGTGTGCCCGGGGAGCTGATTGGGGGGTACAGCCTGCAGGGGGACATGGGGACATCACTGGGGACATGGGGGTATTGGGGACATTGGGGATATTTGGGATATTGGATATGGGATATGGGGACATTGTATTTGGAATATGGGGACATTGGAGACATTGGGGACGTTGGGATTTAGGATATGAGGACATTGGGACATTAGATATGGGATAAGGGGACATTGGGGATATTTGGGCCATTGGATTTGGGATATGGGGACATTGGATTTGGGATATGGGGACACTGGGGACACTGGCGACATTGGTGACACTGGGGACACCGGGGACATTAGGATATGGGGACACTGGGTGTGGGACATGGGACATGGGGGCATTGGGGACACTGAGGCCACGGGGACACCAGACATGGGGACACAGGGCCACAGGGACCCAGTGAGAAGCACTGTCCCGAGTGTCACCTGTGCCACTGCTCGCTGTCACGCTCGTCACTGGACT